GCAACCCAAGATGCTGATATTTTCTTCATATGATAACATTGAAAAAAAGCAGTTATAAATATGACTTCGATCCATCTCTGTATTTCCTTTTTTTTTTTTTGTAGTCCAGCACATAGATACTAACACCTTTTGTCAAATTCTTAGAAGGAACATAAACACTCTCTGTTTTTGACACCTGCTGCCAAAAACTTTATTGTCACCTCATCTTATTTTTCTGCAGTTTTTTCTATTTTTCTGCTCTTCTTCAAACTGCGGAAAGCTCCACAAAGGATAATTCTGACCTAATGGAGCCTGGCAGGGAGATTAAACGTAACCCCTCTGCCTGTATACAAACAGCATCCTGTAATAGATCAAAGTAGACACGGAGACCAGCACCAGGGGCTTAGGTCAGTGAGATGAATGGAAGATGTTTTGCATTTTTAACTCTAGAAAGGGGACATTTACTTTCTCTACTTTTAGGGAAAATAAGTCTACTTAGAAAAGCCCTAACCAGCACTTCAGCTCAGTCTTTACAAAAATCTAAACTGTTTTCCCTCTTTTCTTCAAAGAGCTGTTAATGCTGGTTATTTTTCTAATTTGTCTCTGCTGGGCATCTTATTGCAGACATCCTTAAAATGGGCTAGCCTAGGTTTCAGTTCAAATGTATAAAACCTAAATCTTCCATTCAATATACAGTAAAGTTTCCCACTCATAACTGAATGTTTTATTGCTTTATTGGGATTCTATTGCCTACTGCAGTACAGCTTTAGATTATTACTATTGGCAAAAACGTATTATGTAGAGAGTTTGATTGAATTGTCCTGAATTTCATATATTCACCTACATGTTCAATGTCACTGTCAGATGAATTGTCTGATTTTTATCTGCTCATTTAGCCTTTCAGAGTTTTTGTACAGGAGCCAGTAGATCCGGTACTGTGTTCATGACTTTATATTTCTCATAAGCAATGAGAAATCAGCAGTTAGTAATTATTTCAGGCAGAATCACTTTCAGGAAATATGGTGGGGCAGGTCTTGGGTCCCGGGTTTGATTCCGGACTGGGGCACCTTCTGTTTGTGGAAATTGCACGTTCTCTTCATGTTAATGTGGGGAGAACTCAGGGAGCCCTGGTTTCCTACTCCCTCCCGAAAACTGGCTGGCTACCTTAACGGGCGTCTCTAAATTGGCCCGTGTGTGTGTGTGCTTGCCTGCGTGAGCCCTGTGATGAACTAGACCCCAGAGTGTGGCCCCACCACATGGCCCAGGCTTCTGCAAGGCTGGTTCAGTTCGTTTCCAAGCTTTATGCTTCAGGCAAACTTGACTGGATGACTAAGGCATGTGCACTGCTTTAGGAAGGCTTCCTCTGTTGTAGTCGTAGTCATGCTGTTGTACATCTTACACTGTACCTCAAACCTTGCCCTTTTAAAGGAAGTCATACAGGACCCAGACTGTGACCACTCAAAGCTCCTCTTCGCCAACAGTATTTAAAAATAGGGGGTAAACCAACTCATCGGGCCACAGCTCGCCTGGTTCCTGTAGCATTAAAGTGGATTAAGATCATTTACGTTGTCAGAGGTTGTTAAGTCCTGTCACCCCCCCCAAAAGTGTGGACTGGAGCACGTGGGGTACAGTACCTCACTCAAGGCACAACAGCAGTGTCTGCAGCAGGGACTCGAACCCACGACCTGTCTGTCCAATGGCCTCCCCCCCTACTCTGCGCTGGCCCCGACATTATGGGAAAAATCCACCCACCTCGTAGCAGGTGCATAGTTAATATTTACCACTAGAAACGGTAGTTCTAGTTCTTTCTAATTGATCCACAATCTACCATTCTGAAATTCACATAAATATCCCGTAATGCAAGAGGTCCCTGACTTCCCTAACTCCTGATAACCACCAAGCCCGGCGCAGGCAGAAGATGAACCCCCACATGTTTTGTGGTTGTACAGATGACTGTCTGCACCGCCGCTGATCCGCCATGTCCCGTCACGCAGTAATGAAACAGAACAAAGCAGAAGTGTCTCGGTGTCGGACCTGTGAAGATGAAGGCAGAAGTTAAAACGTGTCTGTCTGCTGCACTGAGAAGCTGTGCCCTTTCCCACCTCTGTCTTTTGAAGCCATTGCAGCCCCCTCTCCCCTCACCCCCCCCCACGCCCCCCATCAGGACTACAGTAGCATCAATTTGCAGGAAAAGGTTACTGGTGACTCAAAATGTAAACTTGTTTGCCGAAGTAAATTACCAGTGTGCGGCGAGCACTGGGAGTGGGGAGATGAAAGGCCTACGCTCTCTCCATGGAGCGATCTGTTATCAGCACCAGCAAGAGGAAGGAGGGAGAGGGAGACACATGGAGGAGAATTAGCCTCTAGGCTGCCTGCAACAAAGACCGCTTCTTTATTCGGCTGTTAAAAACCCTTTTAATAAAGAAAAAGCAGAAAAGAGACAATGATAATGGAAGCACTTTGTGGTGCGTGTGTTAGAGCATATTCTATAGACACTGTATCTGTCTATGATTAAGGGGTGATTACACACACTTTCATTTTTGCCCTTGAAATACTTCAGCCCTTGTGTACTTTGCTAATGGACCTGAAGGAGCTCTGCTCTATGATTTCTGTTCTTCTGCCATTTCACTTTGTTATTCAAACAAGAGATTCTGGATTCTGACACCCGTTCTGTGTTGCTGCTGTACTTAAGCAAAAAATATCTTCGGGAAGCATGGAGGTGAATAAGGGGAAGAAGATCACTGCTGTACGATGTTCTGAAGCCCCTCAGAGTGTTACACCAGTGTATGCGCTGTCTTTTTGTTCTTCACTTTTAATTTTTTTATTCAAGTCATAGCAACTAGAATGGCAAACAGAATACCCAGGTGTGAACTGCACTTTATTTTCTCTTTCTGCATTTTATCTTTTGTGAGGATTCTTGATTGTTAGATAAAATAATTAGTTTTTTGTGGAGGAGAGGGCAGAGGTAGTACCAGTTTCCCTTCTGAGGCTGCCATCCGCGATGTTCACAAGGAATAGAGTATTGTATAGTGTTGAGCAGCTTGACAGAAATCGTCAAGCTGGTGTCCTACCAATATGCTCCCCCTCTATTCTTCATCTGTTTTTAATTTTTCTGTCTTTTTATGGCTCTCTTCTTCAGCTTTGTGTCACACTAATGTGCTTTCAATATGTGGTAATGTGCCACCAGATTTTAGCAGTCTTTACAAATACAGTGGAGAGAAAGCCAAATGATAATCACACAGCTTCCGCTGTTCAGGAAGGTAGAGGAATACTAACGTCTCCCTGTTTTTTTTAAAAAAATAGCAATTGCGGTTTCATATTTATGATCCTGTTTTCATCTTTCCGCATCTGTAAGTGCTGTTTGTTCTGTTCAGAAAAATAAGTTGTATTAGATACGCGTTTTAACACATTACTGTTGAAACATGAATTTCATGTTGATAGTCAAATTCAGATTGGTTCAGAGATCACAAATGAATTATTTCAATCTGATGTGCACATGTGCAGTTACAGTATGAACTCGTTGATTAAAACTTGAAGGTTATTTTTTGGCTAGAGACATATAAGGTGGTTAAAACATCTTGTGGTTAGTTGTTAGTTGTGGTTAGATGCCACCGTCAGAAGCTCAGAGGAATCAAATCATAGGACACTTACAGACAGGCTGCTCAATTTCAGACATTGCAAGACTTTTCAATGCACGTAGAGGAACTCTTTACAATTTCAGAAGATGCTGGCAAGCAACTAGACTGCAGATTACTTACCTGAAAGCAGATAGTCGCATCAGCTGCACAGGACCCAACTCCCAGGGCTGTCAGGACAAGGATTGTATTCGGAATTCAGACAGTATTTTATTTCTATGTGCTGCAACCCTGGCCTGCTGCCTCCGCAGATTCCCAACAAGCATGTCTGGGACACTGCCGACCCCCAGGTTTGTGCTCTCTGTGGGCAGCCCCAGGCCCCGCCAGCTCACCATGTCCAAGGTCACGCTCGACACCAGGCTGTGTCAGTGGTGGGCTGAAGCAGCATGGTCGCTGTGTTAGCAGTGGACGCATGTGGCGTCGAGCTCTTCACCTGACCCGGTCTGGGTGAGAGCCTCTCATGCAAGGCTGACGTTGTAAAGAATGTGAGTGAAACTGTTAATGACTGAGATGGCGCAAAATCTTGGAACGCTGTTGAAAAATGAAATATGTCTGCAAGTGTGCATGCTTTGTTTGGCTGCAGAGAATGTATTTGTATTTATAGGTGTGTTAAACAAAATGACTGTAAACGTTGTTACAGTATATG